GCCGTTGAACGGGCGATCGTGTACCTTTAACCGATCGTTTTGTCGAAGTCGCGACACGGGAAACGATTCGACGTATCGTTCGACTTTCACGAACGTTTCCTCACCGTTGTCGATCTTGGTGCGCGTTGCACTGGCACCGCGCCGTGCCGCCGTATCGCCGTGCCTCTGCATGTCTCCGGCTGCCATTGTTTCTCGAATTATCCGGTGGAGGCGGAGCGTCGCGCCCTCGAAAGGTCGTCCATTAGCTCCAGCTTTGCCATCGAGATTATCTGGCGCCATGGACTCCGTCTCTCGTTAATTCTGCCATATTACGATACCGGCGCTCTTCCTCTTTCGACTTTCTTCCTAATCGATCCTAATTCTTACAATTTTCTACTTTTCGACGTTACATAGAGTAGTACGCGTTTCCAGTTATCGCCGATGCTTTCGTTCCGATCGTGCAGATTTTACGATGCGTCAACGACGCGTCCAAGTTAAAACGGAAGACCCTCGACCGGCGCGATCTTTTGTAAATATACCCGAGGAAATAGCTTCGAAGTATCTCTACAGCTGGTTGTTGGGGTCGTGCAATAAATCGAGATAGCGTAAGCCTGGTAGTCTGAGTAAGCGCGTTGTATCAGCGACTTTCGATCTACGGATACTGTCGAAAACGACATCGACGTCTTTGTTCGTCGTCGTCGAACTTCGTCGACCGATCAACGGCTCTGCGTTGATATTCAAAGTCAAACGACGTTCGAATCGTTTCCGTTTCAACATCCTTCTCGGACCTCGAGAAACTTCCCTCCGGCCAGTCGTTGCCGATTTTTTACCTGTCGCATGCCCATAATCCCTACGACTATAAACATCCGAAGCTTGCTACGAGATCGCTGGAAGAGAGACCGAAGGAAACTGCCGCTTGTTTACTCGCTCGTATACTCGTATATTTTACACGTTTCGTCTAATAGCTCGTTCCAATACTCGGACGACGAGTCGTCGAGTCGCAAGCCGAATTTATCAAAGTCGAATTTTCCCGTGGCGCGAAATCGAGAAATCGGGAAGCATCCGGCGCGGCAACAGGTGTGCCTAGTTTTCTTTATTCTTTGTTGTAAACCGCCTTGCACGAGTGCGCCCGAGTTCCAGCTGGACGGTCGTTTCCTTTTTCCCCCTCGAGTCACATACCTGACTATCTCCGATCGAGCTCCATCGAGGACAATGGCCGCCGCCGGTCAGCTCCTCTCGCTTCGCCAGAACCTGGTGCGAATCCGACAACCGATAGGTACATACCCGTATTCGTATACCTATTCCCGTTGTCGTCGTCGTTTGTCGTTCGTCGTTGCGACCGTTTTATCGTCCGAATCGTCCCGCCTGCCAGATTTTTCTCCCGAGCGCCGTTTGCGCGACGAGCGACAGGCTCTCGGGTTGATCGATGTAAATAGAAGCCGACATTTGTTATACCGATATTTACAACGGATTCCGCGTGCCCGGAAATGTAATCGAAATCACGACTATTGGTAGCAATCGGTGGCGGATTGGACAAGCCGCGCGTATCGGCGAAACCTTTCGTAAACTCGAAGACGCGGTATTTAGCCGGATTTTATCGATTTTACGAGTTTAACGACTCTTTAGTATCGCGTATATATCTCTGTGTAATCGCGATAGTAATTAAAAACACAGTTTATACGTAAGAATCGCGTTAAATTGACCTCGATTTTCTAGCGAACGACAGTCTCGGCTTCTCCGTAATCGGACGATCGACGCGTTTTAGAAATATGAAATGTTAGAGTATGCACGTACCTATTCGACGAACTAAGGAAATCGATGCCAGGTACGAAGGAAGGTTCGATTAAAAGTCTCTTACTACAGGTAGATCGGTAGGTTAACGCCGTAGGTTGGCCGCGGCTCACATTTTCCTCGCCGCCTAGAACGCTGTATGTCAATAAATTATTTCCATGGAACGCCTATCTTTGACATCGCAAAGCGTTACGATAATTTTATCGTTTAAGTCGATATTTTGTACGTAACGTACTATTGACAAATTTTTATCAATAAAAATAAAGCTTATCTATTTGTATCTTATCGTACGGCGCTATAAGTTGGTAGAACAAAATTCGAGCCGCGGCAAGCTCGTTGATCTCGGACTAATTCGTATTAACGTAGCATCTTCGTTGCGTAAATCGACTGGTTTTCGGAGAAAGTGTATCGAAAGATTCGCGTAGGATAGGGAAAGCCCGTCGAACGAAAGTTTCCAGTCACTCGGTTGGCTCCGAAACAGAGAATCGTGGAAACTCGCCTTCTTGCTTCGATGGAAGCAACAAAGTTCGCAACGTGTTAGATATACGGTCTCTCGGATATTCAGAAGTCGGTTGAACGCCTCGATAAATATTACATACGCCCCTCTGTCTCGAGTTTTTTTATCGTCGCGTTACAAAACGCAGGTTGTGCCTCTCGCTTTCCGCTCGCGCATTAAGAATGCGGTAACCTCTCTGTACGCGGCGGCTTATTTCGCCAAAGATTCGCGAAACGTCGCTTCGCCGCTGCCGTGTGAAAAGAGAGGACGTTGACTTAGGCCTGGAAATCAAGATTGCGCTCCGTAGTCTCGAATCGCGAAAAGAATAGGCATCGCGTGGTTTTACTCGAGCGAACGAAAACACGACGCGGGGCCGGGGCTGCGTCTTTAACGCGCGTAATGTCTGTAATCGGAGGCAATCGAACGACGCGTTGCCGCTTTAAAAGTTAACTTCAAAGTACGAAATAGATAGATAGAAAGTACGAAATTACGTACTCGCGACGCTAAATGAACGAAAGAAATATTTAGCGAACCCGATGAAATTCTTTCCAACCGTTTGTATTTTTTAGATTAGAATTCTATCCGATACGAACGCTACGACGAACGCATCACGGTAATTAATATCCCAATAAGAGTCAACGTTCTCGCT